TTGCTGTTGCTGCTGCATCCTTGGGTCTATTTCCTCTTGCTGCTGCTGCTGCTGCTGCTGCTGTGTTTTTTCAGCAACATTTGAAGAATACCCAGAAGAAAGTACGACTTTATCTGCAAACCCTAAACCCTAAACCCTAAACCCTAATTTATCTACTTGGCACAATAAAAGAAATACAGCAGCAATGGGCTGCTGATAAATCCTTAGGGTTTAGGGTTTAGGGTTTAGGGTTTGTGTGTTTGTAGGCCGGGCATATTTACAGCGAATTGCAGCAGAGGAGAGGAAGCAACTACAACCAGGTCTGTATATTTATTTTATTTATTTATTTATTTATTTATTTAAATATATAAATAAAAATAAATAAATAAATAAATAAATAAATAAATAAACCCTTGTGTCTGTATTGCATGCAGGAGAAGTATTATTTGTTCCTTCCTTGGGGTGTACAGACAACTCTCCTCTATTTGCATTCCTTGCTATGCCTTATTACTTCCGTATGCTGCTGCTGCTTGTGCTGCTGCTTGTGCTGCTGCTTGTGCTGCTGCTGCTTCTGCTGCTACTGCTGCTGTTGTTGCTGCTGTTGTTGCTGCTGCTGCTGTTATGCCATTGCTTCTGCTGCTGCTGCTATCATTCCCTTTGCTGCAGCAAACCCACTCAGTCTTCAGCAGCAACAGCAGCAGCAACAGCAGCAGCAGCAAGAGCAGGAGCAGCAGCATGAGTAATTATTTGTGTGTGTATATTTGTTGCATGCAGAGGGCAGCAGCAGCGAAGCATCTCGTCGTTTATTGCATGCATGCCGTGAATTATTCAAAACCCTAAACACTAATCGTATTCAATCCGTCATTATTCCTTTCTTAGGGTTAGGGGTTTATGGATATAAACCCTACAGGGCTGCACATATTATTATACAAACTGCTGTTGAGGAAATACTACAAGTAAGCAGAAACGGTCGAGGGTTTAGGGTTTAGGGTTTATAAAGAGGGTTTAGGGTTTGTATGAGGGTTTAGGGTTTACAATGAGGGTTTAGGGTTTATGGGTATGATTAGTGTTTACATTCATGTTTAGATGTATTCTTCGTCTTTGCCCTTGTATTTATATTGTATATTGTATATTGTATATTTTATATTTTTTAGGGTTTAGGGTTTAGGGTTTAGGGTTTAGGGTTTAGGGTTTAGGGTTTATGCCTATAGGTGGATGCTATATCTCCTCAATATAATTTGAATAGAGTGGATATTGTAGAGATTGATTTAACAGCAGCAGCAAATGTTGCTGCTGCTGTTAGAGAAACAGAAACTATCTGGATACCTGAGAAACAGGTACTGCTGCTGCTGCTGCTGCTGCTGCTGCTGCTGTTGTTGTTGTTGTTGCTGCTGCTGCTGTTGCTGCTTCTGCTGCTGTTTTCTCTTTTTTTTTTCTTCTTTGTTTCTTTTCTTAGGGTTTAGGGTTCTTTTATTTGGTTGTTTTATAATTGCTGTCTGTTAAACAATTATATTCTTTAAATTAGGGTTTAGGGTTTAGGGTTTAGGGTTTAGGGTTTATGTATTAGGTGATAAGTGCACCAGAGTATTATAGTCGTCAATGCCGTCGTCTTCTTTCTGTTCCTGATTCTATCTTATACTTCTGTAGACGCCATTCAAGGGTTTCCTTTAAAAAGGTATAGTTGCAAGGGTTTAGGGTTTATTAGGGTTTAGGGTTTATTAGGGTTTATTAGGGTTTATTGGGGTTTATTAGGGTTTAGGGCTTACGAGAGTTTACAAGGGTTTATGAGGGTTTATGAGAGTTTATGAGGGTCTACGAGGGTTTATTAGGGTTTATTAGGGGGATATGCGTCTCTTTGGCGCAGGGCTTGGGGGGGATTGTATGGCGTACGGGTTTAGGGTTTAGGGTTTAGGGTTTAGGGTTTATGTGCAGCACCATGGGGTAATTAGACGACAAAGGAAACACTACTTCTCTAATATTAGACCTCTTCTTTGGCGAGCATCGAGGGTTTTGCAACCTCCTCCTTTCTTGGTTAGTTCATCCTAGGGTTTAGGGTTTAGGGTTTAGGGTTTAGGGTTTGGGGGTATATGAATGTTTTTCTTTTTTTTTGTTTCTTTTTACTGATAGGGTTTAGGGTTTGCTTTCCTCCCTTTTTTCTTTTTTATTTTTCCCCAATTAATTAATTAATTAATTAATTAATTAATTACATTTATTTATTTATTTATTTATTTATTTGTGTATACAGGTATTAAAACATTCAGGTGTATCTGCAGCTAAGCAATTATCCCCTCGTATATTTTACTATCGTGGTGTATCATCATTATTATTTTCTCCGCGTTTATCATCAGGATTTAATTGTTTAAGGATAAAAAGGGATGGACAATTTGAAGGAATTAATAAAATGCCTAATATATCTGAAAAAGCTAGACCTAGGCTTTAAAATAAAGGGTTTAGGGTTTAGGGTTTAGGGTTTAGGGTTTAGGGTTTAGGGTTTGGGTGGGGGAGGGAGCGCGACTTCGCGAAAAAAAGACTATAATCATTTTTTCTTATGATGGATCCAACTAAATAATTATTATTTATTTTTATTAATTAATTATTTTTATTATTTATTATTTATTATTTATTATTTATTATTTATTATTTATTATTTATTTATGTATATTATTATTGTTTTTTATTATATAGTAGTATTTACCCTTAGGGAACAAGAGGGTTTAGATTTATTTTATTTATTAATATTCTCTTTTAGATTAAATATTCTTCTGAGGGTTAGGGTTTACGATTTATAGGGGTTTATACAACAGTTAGGGTTTAGGGTTTAGGGTTTGGGTGCCAATAGTGGATTAGGGTTTAGGGTTTAGGGTTTAGGGTGTGTGTAGGAACTGAGGGTTAGTTAGGGTTAGGGTAAAGAGACTAACGATACTCACGAGGAAGAGTAAACCCTAAACCCTAAAACCCTTTAAACATATTAATTATATTCATCGTACACACCAACTGCTAAACCCTAAACCATAGAGAAGTGTGACAGAGATGCAAGCAGCAACACTAAACCCTAAACCCTAAACCCTAAACCTCCAAATACTCTTTGCTTCCTTGATTATTAGTTCTTGAAACTCATGCCTATGTAGATTTTTGTCACCTAAGAAGTAGGGTTTAGGGTTTAGAGATTAGGGTTTAGGGTTTAGAAACTAGGGTTTAGGGTTTAGGGTTTAGGGTTTGGCAGATTCCTTCGGTGTGGGGCCCGTCGACAGCCCCACAGTGTGTCTTTTTGTGTTTTCTTCTTCGTCATCCTTTTAATTTAGGGTTTAGGGTTTATTGTTTTATTAAATTATAATTAAATAATTAAATAAAAAATACAATAAACAACAAGAAGGGCCTCTCCTCCCTTGGGGCCCCCATCCGTCTGCGTGCGGTGGAAGGGGGCCCCCCAACGGCTCCCTCCAGCACTAAACCCTAATCATTAAACCCTAAACCCTAAACACTAAACCCTAAAAGTAGGGTCAAGCAAATATGTCGCGAGAAGGAGGCCCGGGGGCCCCCAAAGTTAAGAAAGAAAGGGGGGCCCCCCCCGCAGTACCCCGAAAGGGCCACAAGGAAGAGCAGGAGGCCCCTGCAGCAGCAGCAGCAGAAACTGCAGCAACAGCAGCAACAGCAGAAACAGCAGCAACAGCAGCAGTTAAAGTGAAGAAGGAGAAAGACGGAGCCGCTGAACAGCAACAAAAGAAACACAACAAGCAGCAACAGCAGCAACAGCAACAGCAGCAACAGCAACAGCAGCAACGAAGGGCCCCCAAGTCCTCTTCTCATAGTTCTTCCTCTACCCCAGATGAACCCCAAGAGGTTATAGAGGGGCCCCCTAAGGGGCCCCTGAAAGGGGCCCCAAAATCCCGCCGGGGGGCCCCCAGAGAGGGTACAGCTATGGATTCATCATCTGAGCCTTCTGAGGCTCCCAGACGAGTGCCCCCTTCTAAAGGGCTCCCAGATGGTGGGCCCCCCTTAGGGCCCCCTAAGGGGGCCCCCTTGGGGGCCCCAAAAGAGGAAGGGGGCCCCTCAAAAAGGTATATGAATTTATTAAGGGTAAAGAATGTAATGGAGGAAGAAGGAGAAGAAGAATTATTATCTGATGATGATGAAGATATAAACAGAATAGGAAATGTACCTCTATGGTGGTATGATAAATATAAACATATTGGTAAACCCTAAACCCTAAACCCTAAACCCTAATTAACCCTAATTAACCCTCATAAACCCTAATTAACCCTCATAAACCCTAATAAACCCTCATAAACCCTAATACACCTTAAACCCTAATGTATACTAGTATATATATAATGGTATATAATTGTTATGTTTCTTACAGTCTATACGCTCGTAAACCCTCATAAATCATCATTAACCCTCATAAACCCTCATAAACCCTCATAAACCCTCTAAACCCTAATAAACCCTTATACACACTGTAAACCCTCATAAACCCTGGTAAACCCTCGTGAATCCTGTAGTAAACCCTTTTATGTGACGATAAACCCTCGCATAATTGAGTATTATAAACCCTAGCTAGGATATATATAAACCCTTTTTTAGGGTTTACTAAACCCTAAATATACACCACACTTCCTCTATTTTATCTAAAAAACCCCAGAAACCGCCAAATCCTCTCCCAAACCCTAAACCCTAAACCCTGAACCCTAATTGTATTTGTATGTAGGTTATGATAGTGAAGGAAGAAGAGTAGAAAAGAAGAAAGAAGTATTTGGTGGTGGGGCAGTAGATGATTTATTATTAGAGGAAGAAAAAGGAGACAAAGATAGACAAATAAAAGATATAAAAAATAATAGAATTGTTACTCTTACGGATACAGATATGCAGGTATTATTTATTACTCCTGCTGCTGCTGCTGCTGCTGCTTGTGATTCTGGTTGTGCTGCTGCTGCTGCTGCTGCTGCAGTTGTTGCTGTTTCTTTTGCTGCTGTTGTTATTGTTGTTGCTGCTGCTACTCCTTCTGCAGTTTCTGCTGTTGC